AGCTGAGAGGTGCAGCAAAGGATGTTGCAGTAGGCTAGAGGAATTACAGCAGGTCGAAGGATTTGCGGCAGGCTAGAGGAATTGCAATAGGCCGGAGGAATTGCAGTAGGCCGAAGGATTTGCAGCAGGCCACGCAAAAAGAAGGAAAGCATGTAGGAGGAGAAATATTGCAGAATTCATAGAGAAGGGGTTGGGGTATATAAATATCTTTCAACTAGATAGCCTTTGTCGCAGAAAGTTTACCTTCTATTTGCAACCTATACCATGTTGCTAAAACTCATTTGAATTTGAATTCCTTTACTTATCATCGACGTGTATTATGTTGTTAAAATTTAAAAGAAAAAACTCCTGCCACACTATCAAATGTTTAAATTTTAAATTATTAAAATTTTTAGCAACATAGTTCTTGTTGCTAAAATTCACTTTCAGCAACAACAGACATGTTGCTGAAAATGAAACCCTTATTTGGGGGGAAAAGTGCGGTGTAGGGCTATCGGAAAATATCAGTAACATGGGTATGTTGTTGATTCGTTGTTGCTGAAAGTAGAGCAGCTTTTGCAAGAGAGAAGTCTACTGCATAGCTTTCAGCAATTAAAACCTTGTCGGTGATATAATTTTTCAACAACAAAGGATTCCATGTTGCTTATATTTGTTCCTAAAAGTTAAAATTTTGGTAGTGCACTTTAATTTTTTTATTTGATAAATTCATTATAATAAATTCAATAAAAAAATATTTTACAAGATGAATTGTATATTAAAATATAATTTACTTTATACTATTTAATTATACACATTTTGATAAATTTATAAGATAAATTATTATTTTATTGTACGGTGTAAACTATAATTCATAAATCTCTAAATTCGAAGGATGAGTTTATTGTCTTATCGAGGATTAGGAATCAGTGCACTATTAAACTTTAGGCTGATTAGAAAAGTTCGAGAGCCAACTAGTGACGCTTAACGACAATTGAGATCCCACCCAATGGAACGCAGAAAAAATTTCAGTTATATTAACTAGAAAAAATGACTTCAAGATTAAATAAAAACTTCCATAAAGTAATACATATTGCTCTGGCAAGTACTATTTTAGAAAACATTACACAGATGGGAAAAAGCATTCAGAAAACATAAACTATATAACACAAAGACAAATCTTCGATGCTTTAGTAGTCTCTGTTAGATTGATAATGTGTATTAAATACCTTGATTTATGTCAAGGTTTGACAAACCTATAATAGATAATAAACCAATGATATGCATCCCATAAACTTTGCTAGGTTCGTTTTCTGCCTGAAGCAACTCAACATGTATTTTACCATCCTGATTTCCAGCATGGAAGA